AAGCGGAAATTAATAATACTAGAATAATTGGTATCAAACTTATATCACTATAGTTTAATCAGTTTCATCGTTATGCTTTTTTTCGCCTTTGATGCAGCTGGTAGCTTTTCCATTCTCTACTTTGGGCCTCTTTTATTCCTAAAATTTCATATAGCAGTATGGGCTGCTGCATTGGCGACTTCCCATATATTCTTTGTGGCGCCGTTCAATAATCCGTTTGGTCAATGGAAGGGGAAAACTGTCAAAATGAAATGTCAAAAAAATTTCGGGAAAAATTAGTAGGAAAAGACACCAAAAAATTAAAAATGCACGAAATATTTTGTAATTTATCAGTGACGAAAGTTTAACATACGAGTCCTGAAAAGAAAAAAAAATACCTCAGCCCTGCCTCCTGGTGGCTACGTTTTAGTGATTACTGCGGTAAATGGATACGGTTAGGATTATTTTCAGCGCCTGCTTGCCGAGATTTTGCTTTTGAGAGATTTCTCAGAGACACACTGGGAGCTCTTCCAGGACATCTAAATTCAGATGAAATAAAGAAAATTGCTAATTTGGAGTAGATTTGTGGTTTGGTTACAGCAACCGTTAACTGGATAAAATGGCTGTGTTTGACGTTGATAATATGATAAGCCGCCTGCTAAACGTGGGTATGGCTGGTGGACGACTCACAACTCAGGTAATATTTAGGATATCCTTTCGACATTTGGGAAATTAAATTTGTGTCTAACAAAATTGAGTTCAAACTGAAAGACATGCTAAGTACTATTTTAAGCCCATAAACTATGTGATAAATTTTGAAAAGTTGCAAAACACAAAAGTCAAGATCCCTTTCATATTCCCTCTCTATGAAAGGTGGAAGCGACCGGAAGTAGCCCAAATGGTAGCACGGCCACTGGTAAGGCTACCGATAGCTCCCCTTTTCCGAAGATCAAGATAATGATGGCTTTAATTCCACGTCGTATGCCAGTACCAATTCCTCGTCGGAAGGAATAAAAGAGTCATAAAGGGACTAGTTTTCACACCAATGGAGACCTACTACACAACAGTAGCACCGTTTCTCGGAAAAAAAATGCAGCAAATTAAAACACCACTGAACACCAAAAAGAAAAAAGTTGTTTGCCAGGTAGGCGAGGAAGAACTACATCGAGTGTGCCAAAAAGCAAAGGAAGTGTTCATAAGCCAGAGCAGCCTGATCGAAGTGGACCCACCTCTGGTGGTTTGCGGCGACATCCACGGCCAGGTGCATGCTGCTGTTTGTTAAAATTCAGTCACGATGTTAAACAGTGCCATATAGCATTAATACGTGTAATGTCCATTTCTAGAGCCTAGAATGATCAAGGGTCAAAGTTTATTCGTCACAAATCACAATGAAACAAGAGAACAAGACAAACACGAGTTCAGTTGATGTCTGTAATAAATTTAAACTGCCTAAAATTCTAGACAACTAACTAGCAATTAGGAGAAAATGGCTTTGAAACGAAGCAGCTAAACTTTCTGGATTCTAGACAGGATCTGAGATTTAAAGGATAGCACCTTCAGATTATCTAGATGCAGTTCCCGGCAACTTTGCTATGAATTTAGTTCAGCCTTTAATAAATCTGCTTTCCCCGACATAGTTAAAAGGGTGGGGATAAAATGAGCAAAAAAAGTGCTGATTAATTTTAAAGTACCGAAGAAAAGCAACAAAATTACACTAGAATAATGGAATAAGAAGATTGTAATTAGGTGTCATTTATTATAAGACATTTCACAATGCAGTCTGTGTTTCATCCCTTAGCTGTATACACAGACAGAACAATGCATACGGGTAGAAGTGGGAATCATCAGTACAGCCTCCTACCCGCCATGTATTGAAAGGACATGTGACAAATTTGCAAGGATAGGCGAAAGAGAAGAAAGAAAGTGTAATAGAACGAAAGTAATAAAAGTGATGAAGCAGATGAAAGAGGAGGAGACGAACGTATGAGACATGTAGTAATTCCATGTAGATTATGAGGTAACGTTCATGAAAATAACTTACTAACTAAGCTTTTAATTCCTA